GGTAACTGGAATTGAACAACATAAGACAGCATTTGAAACTGAATTGTGAATGAATGATGAACACGTGATTCCAAAAATGTATAAACTTTTGTTAAGATTTGAAATGGAAGAAGAACAAGTTAAAGATTGTATGATAAAATGGGCTATGAATTTTGGTTATAATATATAGACGGACAAATGGGACAGAATGTGGGTAAATGGGATGAAATTCCATTGTGTTATAGTTTAAGAGAGATTTTTTTATAAAATGATGTACCATTGGTATATGTCACCAGGGAAATCATCAAAGATGTATAAAGGTACTTCAAGTCAATATTAGAAATGTGAAAACCATGATGGGACATTTTACCATGCATTGTGAAAAAGCCAGAAAACTTTGGTACAAATAACACACAATGATATAAAGAATTTTAAAGATTAATATTGAGAAAAAGCCAGAACTCTTTTTATTGGGACTTATGGATAGCCAGTTAGAAAAGACTCATGGAAGACTGACATTATATATGGTAACTGCAGCAAGATTACTATATGCACAACAATGGAGGAATACTGAAATTCCCACAAAGGAGAAATGGATTGTGAAGATGACAGAATTGGCAGAAATGGCAAACCTGATCTGTTTGGTCAGGGACAAAACAATAAGTACTTTTACAAAAGACTGGAAACCTTTTATGGACTTTTTGCTGAAAATGGAAAAAAAAGTGAGATTATGGATTTGATGATTGAAAAATGATTAAATAAGAGGCTGAAGGGATTTTTGTAATATCAAAAGAGGAGGGATAATGAGTTTGTTTATAACTGTTGAAAAGAAAGTTGAAAGTTGCTTATTTTTTTCTGATTCTTATTTCTTTAACTATCTTTTTTTGTTTTGCTTTTTGCTTTTGCTTTTTTTTTCTATTTCTTTTCTTACTATTTTTTGTTTATATTTGTATTTTACTTATGTAAAAATTCTCAATAAAAATTATATTAAAAATACTTTTGTCCTGTGCAGAATAAACATAAAATAAAAATAAAAATCTGCAGATACTTAGTACAGGAAGTCTTTGTTTAGCAACTGCCTCATACAGTGATCCTTCACAATTTGTGATGAAAAAGTAACTTTGCAACCAATCCTCGTATTTATGACCTTTGCAGGTTTGTAAAGGAAAGGAAAACTGAAGTAAGATTGTGAGCACAGTCACGGTTTCACTTAGCAATCGCTTTGCTTAACAACCAAGTTGCAGGTCCCAATCATGGTTGCTAAATGAGGACTACCTGTATTTTCCTTCCCATCTGCAGATACCTTATGCATGGAAGTTACTATTTTTGGCTGCTTACGATTCCTTAATTACTGGAACTTTTTTTTCACTGTTTTGTATGGCAATAGTCTACTGGGGGAGGATTTTGCTTTGGAGGATTATATTCTTAATCTCCCTCTAAGTGTTTTATGTTAGCATAGACAATCCATTGAGCATTCCTAATAGATAAAGTACTTCTCCAGAAAAGAGAAAAGCCTCCTGAAAAAATTTTAGCCTGTACTTATATGAAGAAATTATTCTCTGTGTTTTATTCCTATCTGTAGTTCTTTAATGATGTTTATAGAGTCAATAAACCTCATTTTTTCTTTTCTTTTCTTTTTTTGGTGACCTGTATAGTACTGTAGTAGCATTGTTACAACTGGTCTAAATGTTCACTCTGGAATTTTCCACAAGTCCTAAAACATTTAGAGAGATGAATAGGCAATATTAGAATGTGTAAAGAAAGAAGAGAAAGTATTATCTTCTTTGAAGTAAGGATACAGTTCTGAAAAAAGTCATATAGTATTCCACATACCAGTTACCGTCGTCAGAAATAGCTTAATACAAATTCTTCATTTTTGGTTAGCATCTTATTTTCTTGAAAAACTTGATATGTGGAATACTATATGACTTTTTTCAGAACTATATCCTTACTTCAAAGAAGATAATACTTTCTCTTCTTTCTTTACACATTCTAATATTGCCTATTCATCTCTCTAAATGTTTTAGGACTTGTGGAAAATTCCAGAGTGAACATTTAGACCGGTTGTAACAAT